AGCAAGTGCTTCAATTTGCAAAAGAGGTCAGCATCAAATCCCAAACAGAGAGCTGGACCAAAGAAAAAGTGCAAAACATTGTCGATGTTCTCTTGAACCACATTTTCACAGATAGGACAGATCTGTTCCAGAGTAACTTTCTCAAAGAGCTCTCAATGATACCATTCCTGTGTCCAGAGAGAGCCCCCAAAGAACTCATCAAGCTTCATTCGCAGTACCAAGAGATGAGCGGCTCACTTCCTCTGATTCGTTTCAGTGGGTCTCAGGTAAATCCAAAATTCAAGCAAACAGATATCATTCACTTGCTTTGGACATCATGCCCAATTTTACCAGAGAAAGCTACACCCTCCAGCATAAAGGACCAGGAGGAGAACCCTCTCACTGGACAGGAACAACTTGACCAAGTTCTAAACATGTTAGGCGTCAACTTGGACCCACCCTTGGAGAAAGTCATAAGCAACTGTAAGAACATCTGCAATATATCCAATCCTGATGATGACGTGGTGAAAACAAGGAACAAAGTTTTAAAGTCCACCTACGAGTTTCTCAATGCAGATAAAAGAGACTTCCGTTACCAGCTCCGTGGGGTGGCTTTTGTCATGGTGGAAGATGGCTGGAAACTGCTGAAACCTGAAGAAGTCGTGATTAATTTGGACCATGAATCTGACTACAAACCCTACTTGTACAAGTTGCCTCTGGAACTTGGTAACTTTCATCAACTGTTCAAACTTCTTGGCACAGAAGACGTTGTGTCAACCAAACAGTATGTTGAAGTGCTGTCACGAATCTTCAGAATTTCAGAAGGCAAGCAGCTTGACCCAAATGAAATGAGAACTGTGAAAAGGGTTGTCTCAGGAATGTTCAAGTCGCTCCATAATGATCCTGTGGAAATTCGCAAAGATCTTGATAGTCTCAGAGAGTTGATGTTTTATATGCCAAGTCATGATGGTAAATTAGCTAAATCCAATAGCTTGGTGTTTGATGATGCCCCACACTACAAAAGCAGAATTCAGGGTAACGTTGGAGTTCAGATGCTTGTGGACATGAGCCAGTGCTATCTGGGCAAAGATCACACCTTCCACACAAAGCTGATCATGCTAGTGCCACAGAAACTAAGGCCTAGACTATTGAGTAGCATTCTTGAGGAACAACTTGATGAGGATTCTCCAAGAATGTGCCAGTTTGGAGCTCTTTGCTCACTTCAAGGCCGTCTACAGCTCTTGCTGTCTTCAGAGCAATTCATCACAGGACTAATCAGAATAATGAAACATGAGAATGACAACGCATACCTTGTGAATGAGGAAAAAGCCATACGTCTCTGCAAAGCACTGTGTGAAGGGTTGAAAGTTTCTTGTTTTGAGAAACTCCAGACAACACTAAGAGTGAAAGGATGTAGCCCCATTCAACACAGCCGCAGCGAAACACTTGCCTTCCTCAAGAAGTATGGCACAGCTGTGATTCACCTCTACATCCAACATTCAGACAGCAAAGACATTAATTTTCTCTTGGCACTGGCAATGACATTGAAGTCTGCTACAGACAATTTGATATCTGACACATCCTACCTAATTGCCATGCTGGGCTGTAATGATATATACAGAATCACAGAAAAGCTGGACAGCCTTGGGGTCAAGTATGACTCAACAGAGCCTTCAAAACTTGAGCTTCCCCTTCCTGGAACCCCAATACCAGCTGAGATACATCACACACTCCTCATGGATCCCATGAATGTATTTTACCCAGGAGAGTATGTGGGTTACCTTGTAGACTCTGAGGGTGGAGACATGTACGGGTCCTACCAGCCTACCTATACGTATGCCATCATTGTTCAAGAAGTGGAAAAGGAGGAAGAAAACACAAATTTCCTTGGGAAATACTTCCAGATTGACATTGGTTACACTGAGTACAAAGTTGTCAGTTCCCTTGACTTGTACAAATTCTCAAGGCAAGAAGAGAGTACCAATGCACGAGAAACTAGTGCCCCGTCAACTCCTACAAGCCCAAACAGTCGTTCCTCTGGTTCACGAACAGTCCCTCCTGTTTTTGCTGGTAAGGAAAACCTCAAACCACCTTCTCAAAAACAGTCACCGAAAAAGATCAAGCTTCACACAATTCCTGAGATTCTGAAAGAAGTTACCTTAGTAGTTGAACAAGCTTGGACGCTTCCTGAGACAGAGAGAAAGAAGATAATCCGCCGATTGTATCTCAAGTGGCATCCAGACAAAAATGCAGAGAATTTGGACGTTGCCACCGAAGTCTTCAAGCATTTACAGAATGAGATAAACAGGATGGAGAAACAAACTTTGACCGATCAGCAAAATACAGAGAGAGCTTCTAGGAGGTCCTACTCCACAACATCATCCCGCTTCCAGTCGGAGAAGTCCTCATATCAAAGGTTTTATTCATCCTGGAACCAAGAAGCCACAAGTCACAAGTCAGAAAGGCACTTCAGGGAACATTATACCAGCCATGCAGGTTCATCACAATCCCACCGTTTCTTTGTTCCCCCTACCTTTAAGACAGTTGGAAACCCAGTGGAAGCCCGTAGATGGCTGAGGCAAGCAAGAGCAAACTACTCTGCTGCTCGTAATGATCTCCATAAAAATGCCAACGAGTGGGTCTGTTTCAAATGCTACCTCGCCACAAAGCTTGCACTGATAGCTGCCGACTACGCAGTCAGAGGAAAGTCAGACAAAGATGTGAAACCAACTGCACTGGCTCAAAAGGTGGAGGAGTACAACCCTCAGTTAACCGGCCTTTTGAATGATGTTCAGATCCTGGAAGGCTATGGTGTGGACAGCCTGAGAACTCGCTATCCCGATCTTCTGCCGTTTCCTCAGATTCCCAATGACAGATTCACTTCTGAAGTGGCAATGAGAGTCATGGAATGTACCGCACGAATTATCATAAAGCTTGAAACCTTTGTTCAGCAAAAAATATAAACCTGTCGTCAAAGATGAGAATAAAACAACAGTATGCATAGATCCTCGCTGGAATGGAGGACACCCATGGCTGTGTGCAATGCAGATCATGTGTTTCACTTTGAATAAAATTGGAAGTATCCAGCTGGCAGCTTATGGTACATGTGAAGTTACTACCTGTGATGGTGGTGCTGTGGTCTATGCACCGTAAATACATGTATGGCTCCCATAACATTTTAGGCTGTCTCAATTTAGATGTGCTGTAATATGTGAACAAAATCTGCATATGCTGTACATACATTTGCCTAAGCAATACGTTTGGTTTACTATAGTCCCCACATTGACTATGTTTGCTCTGAGTTAGATACAAATATGCTGCTTTTTTTACTTTATATTTTATAAAAATAATATATATATATATATATATATATTTTCTTGCTCCAGAAAATCAGTTGAGTGTATTGAAAGAAATAAATAACCTCTAAATGTCAAATACTGTCATGCAACGTGTGCTCATGCAAGAACTCAGCATGTCAAGGAAATAACAGTTACGTTTGTAAATTATCTTTTTGTATCTTCACGGTTGATTTAACATTTTTTCGGTAACAGCCAGTCACAAAGCACTTTTTTGAAACGCCTCATGTACTTGCCGAGCGCTTGTGTCACCCCATACATTTGTGGGAGTCGAACTGTGAATGGAAAACTTTTTTTTTTGTATAGCCATGTTAAATGTTAAATGACTGTTTTGAATTATTACCTGTTCTTATGAACCACTTCTGGGGCGCTATAGTATGACGGCAAACAGGTGCAAAAGCGTTACAACGGGCCAAACATCCATTAGTAGAAATCCGCTGCATTTTCCAAACGATACAAATGAAGAAACATCTTCACCAACATGCAAAGCGTTTACTAAAAGTGCTGCATATACGAAACGCTGCAAGAAGCTCAAAACAACACCAGAGGACACCAGACGAGTGACGCACACAGCTGGGACCAGAGCGCTTCATGATGTTCGGGGATTACAAAATTGGACAACTGTCACTGTTGTTAGAAGCACCTAAAATGTGTGTTTTATTGGCTTTATTTTAACAATGTGATCACGTGATTCCTTTGTAATGATCCAACCTCAATTTAAACTAGTCGTAAACCTGTAGGAGAGATGCTAAAATAAAGAGCCCATGTGATTCTTTTGGCACAACCCATAACAAGGTCACTTTTGGTCCTTGGCTTTTCCAAGGAACATGGAGCTGCACCAAACTGGTGCTAATGGGTTTTTACTGCAGCATTGGCTTTATTTGACCTTTAGTAGGACTATACACACACTGACCATGAATTGTAAATGTCATTTTCAAACCGTTTAAAATGTGTATTTGTTATTTTATTAAACCTCAGGCTTGAGGTTACTCAGCCGATATCTCCTTGAGCAAACAGTGGAGAACATTTGGTACCATACATGTTGATGTACACTGTGCCATAAGGCCTAATAAATCCCCCTTAATACATAAAATGTCTCTGTTTTTGCACCTATGTTTAAAAACATTACATGTTCATGTTGCACTTTTTTAAATGTTAGCAAAACACCCCATTGGTTTACAGGATAACTATGAATAATTATTATTACTGATACTATTACTTATTACTGATTATTATTATTACTAGTATTAACATGAGAATGTTGCAGCATGTTTCTCCAATTGGAAGTGTTTTGGGCCATTTTCCGCCTCCGTAATGACGACATGTTTAACTTAAGCAAACACTGGATTTGACGCCACACATTCTTGCCAAATATAGATGGGAACCAATGACAGAAAGATGGCTCACTTGCTGGTCCATGGTGTGTGTACCTTCTTTATTGAAATGCATCCTGGTGGTACTGCAGTACTTTTCCACAAGAGTGCACCAGAGAGCCAATACACTTTGATCAAAACTCTTCATTTCCACATTATGTCTTCAGCAGAAGACAAGAGTCCAGATTAAAAAAGGACACAGCCAGTCCTCTGGTGCCTTTATGTTTATAAGATTTGATCAAACAAGAAGTGACAAGTCTTGAGAAAAAAAAAGTAAATGAGAGACACAAAGTAGAAGAATAGCACAAAGTTTATTCAACATACAAAAATAATAAATACACATTACACACTTATAAAATATGTCAGAACACTTGGGAAAACTGAAAATGATCTTCTACATAATACTGACAATGATAACACTATTGAGATAATGTTTTAAAAACAGTGATGCAGATTCATTGATGAATATTTGGATCATTTAAAAATATTGCCCTTTTTATTCCTGATTTTACGCGAATGTCACCTGACATGCATATTATATAAAAGATAATCCCGTTATTTTTCCATTCAGAATCATATAATCTACAGATGTTATTAGCATTACATTGGCTGTATTGAAGTTGCTGAACAAACTCAGACCAGTTTATTGCAATAAAATTATATTGCTAAAAGCATAACTGCATGCTTATTGTGGCCAACGTGCTACAAAGGCCCGAAACACTTTTAACGGGGACACTAAAAAGTGAGGCATGGGACCCGAGCGCTTGTTGGTGTTCAGGGATTAGAAAGTTGGTCAACTTTATAATGTCCCCTGGTTTGTTTTGAGCTTCTTGCAGCATTTTGTATTCGTTTCATTTACGCAGCACTTTTAGTAACCGCCGTGTGTGTTCGTCATCGTTTCTGAAGCTGCAGTGTATTTCTCCTAATGGAAATGTGTTGGGTCGTTACGTAAAGCATTTGCACCCGTCGGCCACCGTACATAAGGGTTGGGCTTTAAAAAATAATTACAGGCCATACACACATACTTTAACCAAAGAACAAAAAACAATTACACACGTGATACATACCAAGAGTAACACTTTATTAATCTAAGCACATGGCTTTAATCTAAACCATATGAATAATTGTGTTGTTTCCAGATTAAAAAACAAACAAGATAAAATCCATCTCTGAAGTGACAAAATATTTACTCTAATTAAACAAAAACATGCTAAACAACAAGTCAAGCACACTACATACCAAGGGCTTGGAGCCAAAAGGACACAAACCAAAATAAATATTCTGCTTTTGAGATTTATTTTTTGATTAATCCAAGCCTTTGATATGTGTCTGTGTATTTATTGCACCACAAGATAATATTGCATAGGATGTAAGCTGTTTCCAGCTCCTCATTGCCCAGCCATGATACTGTGCGTGTTAAAGATCCTCCACAAAGCTCTGATGCAGATACATTTGGAACCGAGTGCCAATTTGTTTCAGCTGAATGGTTAGAAGGTCATAAAAGCAACTAAAAGGATGCGTTTCATGACATCTCCAACATGTACGCCAGCAGGCATTTGTATTTTTACCGGCCTGGATGCACCAGTGGGAGATCAGAACAGACCCAGTGTGGTACAAAGATAAATAAAAAAATATCAGGCCAGATATAAACAGTTGCTTGTTGCCTCCCAGAAGATGCATCTACAGAGAGATGGAGAATCGATTACCTTGTCAGAGTCTTTTTAGCACTCCTGATTCTCGCTGCAAGTGGAGGTGACCCCGGCCTTGGACAGGAAGAGCTTTCCGCTGGGACACACGCAGACCTCTAACAGACCCTGAGCGTTTCCAGAGACCCCTTCTTCGCTCAGGGGCAGGCGCGGCATGCGCACCATCTCCGCATCGAGCACCAGCTGCACGAGCAAGGACGAAACAAGGAGAGAGGGATTTGAATCCACAAGGAAACAACATTTTCCACTTAAGGCGAGTGCTCAAACACATAATGGCACACAGCCAGAAGAAGTCGATGTTTTACTTAAGAAGCAATACGTAACAGTAGAAATACTCTGTGACAAGTAAAAGTCCTGTATTCAAAAGTCAAAGTACAACGTATCGGCATCAAATTAAACTTTTGCCTAAAGGCCCATTTCAGAGTTATATATATATGAAATTACTGGATTATGAATCATTTGGGAAGAAGTACTCCTATCCTTGACTTAAAGGGGTCCTACTATGCTCAGGTTCATATACTGTAAGTATTTTGTGTCGTTGTGTGATGTCACTATGTTGCTAAACAAAGGAGTCCAATGGAGGCACGGGGAGGGATTGTGTGGGAGAGAAACTCCCTCTGGAGGCAACACAAGGATTTTAGCCTTTGCAGATCATTTACATGCACACAAACTGTTGGGGAAATATTTTCCAAGGCTCATAACTTTGACCCAGTTGATCAGTTCAAACTGTCCTGACTGAGCACATGCACCTGTAACCTTGGCTGCTGTGCTCTCAGTGTTTTGTCTCCCTGTTCCTGCCTGTTGGCGTCAGCTGATAGAGGTGTTATCAATCTATCTTGTTATGCTCAATGTTGATTATTCTCTCTGGACTAGCTAAATACACGGGTCTGGGGTCGAGTTCTTCAGAATTGACGTGGCAACTCTACCGTGAAGTCAGAACTTCTGACTCTTTGACTTGTCTTGTGAATTATTCGGCCGAAGCTCCAAATAAACCGTCAGTGTTTGCCATCAAAGCTCCAGCTCTCCTCGTGTCTCCTTTGAGTCCTGACTCCATAGTTTCCCCCACACAAACCTATAGAATACACTAAAGGAAAGGGGAAACCCCAGAAAAGCATAATAGGGCCCCTTTAAATCTGAAAGATACAGTGTAGTGTTTACCTTTCTAATAACATTCAATGAATTCATGTTACTTTTTACAACAATTTAAAGTAGAAGAAATATAGCACTAAAGTAGAAGTTGTGTAATGAGCTCCCTCAGGGCGATCTGTCAGGTGCTTTTTACTAAATCTGTCCAAGAAATGGAAAAGACTGAGCTACTGTCCAACTGAGTGAGGCTCACCTCGAAATGTGAGCCTGAGAGAGATTATAGAAGCGTGAAGCGGCATGTCGCTGGAAAAGCATTATTCCCTTGGTACATGGTAAAGCAGCGTTCAGTTATTATGCTCCAAATATCTGGAACAAACTCCCAGAAACCGGCAGGTCCGCTGCAACTCTGACTACTTTTAAATCCAGACTGAAGACTTTTCTTTTTGCCTCTGCTTTTAATTGAACTATTCACATCTTAAACTGAACTGTAACTTTTATCCATGTATTTTTTCTTTTAATGTTTATTTTATTATCTTTTCTTTTTAAATGCCATTTTCTTAATGTCTTTCGTTTTTTGTAAAGCACTTTGAATTGCCTTGTGTTGAAAGGTGCTATATAAATAAACTTGCCTTGCCTTGCCTTGCCTTGCCTTGCCTTGCCTTGCCTTGCCTTGCCTTGCCTTGCCTTGCCTTGCCTTGCCTTGCCTTGCCTTGCCTTGCCTTGCCTTGCCAATAAAAAAAGAAACAGTTGGTGTTCTGAAGACGTCAGGAAGTTTAGGATGTTTCTCTCACCATTCCTATACTAGACTGCAGAAGGATGTCCATGTTGGAAGCAGCTTCGATGTTTCCAGCCAGCGCTTTGAGATGAACTCCTTTTGGGGCGTCCAAACTGAGAGAGCGGGTGGGACACTCCAACCTGAAGAGGAAATAGAGCATGGCTGTATAAAGAGAACTGGATTCAACATTGGAGGCAGGGTCCTGTTCACTCCTATTAGAGACGCTCAGCGGCGCATGAAGCCAAAATGGTTGAGAGTGGTGCAGTCCTGAAACCTGGAGAAATCTTAAATTGTACTACTTCATGTCCCCTGGTCTGGAGGTCAATGGTTTTCTGAATGTGTTTTAAACTTTTTGGTTGTTAGCCTGAAGTAAGGTATGTGGGTATCACAAGCTGAAGAGATTTTAACATTTTGTTCTACGAAAACAACAAGTCAGTAAATACCCCACTGTTGAATTTAGAAATGGCTGTTGCTAACAAGTGTCTAAATGGACGACTAAACGTCATCACGCCCAACATTAGCCACCTTTAGCTTAGCGGTGTTGACGTGAAGTCATGTGACCGTGCTGTAGTTCCTTTATAGCCCAACGTTAGCTTCTTACTTCAACAATCATAAAGTGGTGTTAATATGTGGAAGTTATACTGCTGAACAAAACGTGTCAGTATCATAAACGTTTGTTTGCCACAGAGATTATTTTCTGCAAAATCCAATAGAGAAATCCCATTGCTTTATCTTAAGGGAGCCCTTTTGGGTTAGCCTACAAAAATACATCATCACTACGCTTTTTTTCATTTTTATTAAACACTACTTATCTAACAGTAAAATATGATCCTTTTAAGTTCAATTCCACATTGTTTATGAGACGATATCACAGGATTGTGTCCAACCTTAAAAGGTCACCTATCATGCTATTTCTAGGCAATAGCATAGGTCTCAGATATATAAAAACATGTCTATGAAGTGTTTTGCTCAAAATACTAAACAGATCACCCATTCTAGCCATGCCTCATATCCCTCTATTTCACTTCCTGTTTCAAAACGGCTGATTTTATGTATAAAACTTAATTAAAAAAAAGAAATTGATTAAAAAAAAAGGAAGGGGCTGAGCTCATGCGGGAGATTCTACCGGCAGATACTGCGGTGATGAAACGCCATATCATGGATTATCAAGGGTTATTTCTGAAACAGTCTGGAGCTCAAAGGCTTTCTCTCTTGCCGGTTATATGCTCCGTTGTAGCGCCGTTTTTAGAGATTTGGGTATAGAGGAAAAGAGAGAGGGTTTTATTTTCTGACGTTGCGTGAGTTCCCCGACACACCAGGGACACATGTTTATGTATAAAAGACATCAAAACGTGCATTTTGCATGATAGGAGACCTTTAACATTTTTGCTTCAGTGGTTGTTGTGCATTATTCTGAACCTACTATTCAGAATAATTCCACATGACTTGTAGTCATCATGCATTATCTATTATTATGAACACTACAAGACGGCGGAAACGCTCACCTCAGGTCTTTCAAAAGTTCAGATCTCAACAGGGGAGTCTCCACCGAGTGCTGGAACAGCGCTCCTTCAGGACCTGATGGGGAAAGAGACACATAGTTGAGAGGAGGTTAAATCAAGTGTGAAACTACAACTTAGGTTTGTATAAATACATTTATTCTATTGAATTTGATCTATGTTGCACATTTTTACTTATTTAAATGTCTTCATTCCATTTTCATATGATTTTTTCTTTTGGACATTTTTACTTTAACCACTTTATTCTACTTATTTTTTTCTTTTTATTGAACATCCTGAGTTTAAATTCCCATAAATAAATTAAATAAATAATGCATTTTTTTTCCCGCACATTCTTACTTTAACTTGTGTAAATATTTTTGAATGATTATTTTATTTTTATTTATTTTATTTTTCACCCCGTAAAAATAAAAACATTTGTTAAAGAATATTCCTTAAAATATTCATTTATATACAAAACATATATTTATTTGAGTACTGACTTTTTTTGGATCAGCTGGTATTATACCAGCGAGCCACAATTTGTATCTTTGAGTGAAATATCAACAATCGAACAGCCATGGTCTTTTACATTTTGAGCTAAATAGCACATTTTAGCATGCTAAACTAAAATAGCTAACAGTAGACTTGATTTGCATCTTCATTGTGAGCATGCTTACATTAGCATTTAGCTCAAAGCACGCGCTGTGCTGTCTCACTGAACGAGTTGCTGTCAACTCTTTGTCTTGTTTTTATTGTTTACTGCTTTAATTTGTGAAGCTTGTTCTAAAAAAGCAAGAGTGTGCTAAGTCTATAAATCAAAATGACCTTGGGCATGAAGCTATCAGCTGACACTCCCTTCAACATAAATCAGCCATCCCAGTGTGTGGTCAGTGACCCACAACACACACACACACACACACACACACACACACACACACACACACACACACACACACACACACACACACACACACACACACACACACACACACACACACACACACACACACACACACACACACACACACACACACACACACACACACACACACACACACACACACACACACACACACACACACACACACACACACACACACACACACACACACACACACACACACACACACACACACAATTAAGGATGGCTCAGCCTGATAATAGCCTGTGATACTTGTACCCTTTGTTGTTTAATATGATATATATAATGTGGTACCGAGGTGTGATATTTCTTTTGTAGGCTGAAAACTAAAGATGAAAATACTTGATTAGAATTTTAATGTGGTGGATTTCACCTACTCTGGTATAGATACCTTAGCTCCTGACTTTATATGCAGAGATATCCGTGCAATAAACTTTGGTTGTGAACGCTCTATAGGAACTCAACCTTGCAATAATAAGATGTTCTTATTAATGATTTCCTTTCATTTATCGACAATAACTTAAGGCATAATTCAAACCTAAAATAAATACTGCTGTGAAATGTAGTTGTAAAAGTATTACGTTGCATAAGTTGACATTTTACAATGGAAATGGAAATGGATATGTACGATTATGTCCTAATAGAACTTAAGTATGGTACTTGAGTAAATGTGCAAAGTTAATTTCACCACTAGTCACTTGGCACAGTGGCTGTTTGAGCTAAATGCTGACGTTAGCATGCTAAACTGATGTTTAACAGATTCCCATGCCCGCTGTCTTAGAAGAGCCTGCTAGCATGCTAACAATTGCTAAATGGCACTAAAATAAACACTGTTTTGTCTGAATGTCATTTGTTTTGCAGCCATTAACAAACCTGACATAATTTCCATCAAGTTCTGTGAATCTTTAAAATAGTCTTTTACATTATACAGCGGATTTATATTTAAAAATGTCTATGCAAATGTAAAGATGGACACACAATTCATGGTAAAAAGTCTCTTTCTTGTCTTTTCTGTTTAGGACACTTCACTTCTCACTGAAGAACATTGTTTGGATGTGAGAGTATTATTTCCCAGCAGGCTGCAGCTGTCGTTGTACCTGTGACTCGCAGTCTGTCTGGTCCAATCACAGCCTGGTCGCCATCTGCAGTGAACAGCATGCTCTCCGTTTGGGAGTTAATGAGCACGTTTCGAGCTCGTCCCTGAGCCTCTCTTGGACCTGCAACAACAAAAACATTACGAATGACCTGAAGGGGGTTTGGCAAAAGTACATGGAAATAAATCAATATCAAATCTCTATTTGTTTTCCTGTTTGGCTTTTAAAATCTGCCATGAATATAATGAAGCAGGTGTGGCATGTGTGGAAATACCTTATAAAAGAAAATGTTTAGCTAGAGAATTTGTAAGAAATTATCAGTAATATAAAAATAAAGTGACAAATATCTGAGGTGATTTGATTGTACCTCACAGACAGCCTGTGTGTGGCAAATGTATGTGTTCTTTTTATAAATGTTTACATGGACTGCCCCCCCCCCCCCTAAGGGGAATACATCCACAGAAAACACACTGGACGCTGCACTAGGTCAGAAACCAGAGGAGACTGTGAGGTCCACCGTAGACGGACCACTTTTGGACAAAATGTCCTCTCCGTTAAAGACAGCTCTTTGTGGAACAGCCTCCCAACTGAGATACGGGATTGTCCCACTCTCAATATTTTCAAAGGTCAACTCAAAAATCACCGCTAAATGCACTTTAATACAGGGGTATCTCCTCTTACACTTTAGGTAGCTCTTGTATCTTCTCTTGCACTTTACATATCGTTGCTGCTATATTGTATTACCATGTCATAAATACTTGTATATGCTGCTCTTGCTCTCTTGCACTTTTTGCATAACATGTATTTTGTTTTTGCTATGTTTGTAAAATATAATTTTCTTAAATGTTTTATGTGAGGAACTGCGGATGGAAATGAGTTCAAAGCTAAATCTGGCACTGTTACGCTTGAGACATTTGAATGTTTTAAGTGTTCATTACTGTGTATTGTCCCTGCCAAATAAATGATTAAATAAAAAAAAAATAAAAAAATCGAAAGCAGGTGGATTAACCAGAGAGATATTAACTCGCTGAAGCACCTACAACTGTGAACCTGCATGTAATCTTCTCTAACAAGCATTTCGTTTTCATCCACAGAGGGCTGAGGGGATGCTTTTTACGGCTTAATGATCAAGGACACATAACGGCGCTGTGGAACAAGGCAATTAGTCGGGTCATTTGTTTACCTTTTAATTATGACAAAACACCCCAACGTAACAGTAAAAAGACGTGCAAATATGATCCTCCGCAGGCCTCGGGTCCCTCTGTGTAATGCAGAACGACCCAGAAGCAGTGGCACAGAGAGGAACGTTGCATTTAATGGATTTTAAATGGAAATCAAAGAGATTATAAATGGAAAGACGGCTTCTTGTCACTGTTAATGTTGGATAAGGAATCGCTGCAGGAAAAGTGCATGAATGGCTTTACTATTGCCCTCATACATCAATGAGATACTTTGTTGCATGCTCTGTGCCTCTCTGTGTGTACATGTGTCCTCTCTTACCCACTGATATCCTCCCCGTGACATTACCATCTTCATTTCGGGCATTAAGGGAAACACTTTCCGACGAGTGCACCAGAAGTGAAGTGTCCTAAAAAAGACAAGAAAAAGCCATTTTATCATGCTGTGTCTATGCAACTGAAACAGCAGCATAATGTGAAAGAACATTTTTAAGATTCACAGAACTTGATGGGAATGATGTCAGGATTGTTTATGAACAAACCGCTGCAAAATGAATGACATTCAGACAGAGCAGTATTTATTTCAGTGCCATTTTAGTAAATGTTAGCAATCCACAGTAGCAAGCGCTCCATGTATGGCGAGCATGGGGGATCACAACATCTGCAAAACATCCGTTAGCATTTACTTCAAAATGCCACTGTGCGTAGTGCCAGTGGTGGAAAGTAACTAAGTAAGTACCATAATTAAGTACTATTATGACATAGTTGTACTTTACTTCATCTACTTTATCCATTTTATGCTACTTAAGTTAAAATATTGTAATTTTTACTTTTGCTACATTCATTTAACACTCAGTTACGTTTGACATATACAACATATTTTATGATATATTATATAACACATAAATACAACCCAGTATTTTCTAAGTTGACAAACTACAACAATAAAATGCTATTTGTGGTAAAAACAGAAACATATATAAGAATATCATTTTGTGAAAGGAGTCTTTCTGCTTATTGAGTACTTTTGATACTGTATGTACATCCAGCTGATATGTACTTCTACTAAAGTAACATTTTGCATTCAGAACTTTTACTTGTGATGAAATATTTTCAGACGAACGTATTTCTACTTTTAACTTAAGTAAACGATCTGAGTACTTCCTCCACCTCTTTGTAAACTATGCCTTTTTAGAAAGTGATGTACACAAATCTGATTCAAAGGGATTGAGTGAGACAAAGTCATTGATGTTGAAATGAGGCCGCCTCAGCAGTAAACCACCACTGTTTCCCTGCAGCTGTATGGCGGAGAAGTTTACAGAAATGAAGTAAGAATGTAACTTTCATTTGAAAAGCCAATACGGTGGCTCACCAAATCTCATTACCCATCCATAGAATACATTAGAGAAAGTGTCCGTCCATGAATGAGGAATACATTACCTTTTTAATGAGGCGCACAAAGAAAAACAATGGTTAAAGAAAATGCTGCTATGAGCAAGAAAAGCCATAACTTGTAAACAACTGCAGCAAAGTGTTCCCATCTGCTACGTGCAGGCGAGCCATAAACTGCTTTCCACTGCAAATATCTGAGGTTAATGGAAAGCTCGCTGCTCCACAACGCGGCCAAATCCAGTTTGTTCCTTTGACGCATCTCACAGAAAAAGTCTGAAATATGCAATTCACTCACTGCAGCTGGATGAAATGTGCTCAAGTGTCTGCAATAAATTAGATTGAGATGCTGACAGGCAGTGGTGGAAGAAGCACTAAGATCATTTACTTAAAGGTCACCTATCATGCTATTTTTAGGCAATAGCACAGGTCTCAGATATATACAAATATATAAAAAAACATGTCTATGAAGTGTTTTGCTCAAAATACCAAACAGATCACCATAGGCGGCGCGGCGCGTGAGGCTCAGGTTTGGGAAGGCTAAATAACTTTTTGTACCTGACGCTGCCCGCCTCCGGCGTCTATAGAAAAGAGATCAACTCAGTGAAAGCACCGCCTGCTGACCAATCAGAGCTCAGTGTGCGGAGTTTAAATCTATCAAGTCATATTACAGGAAAAAGGAAATACAGTTTAAACTGCCGTATGCAGGGAAGACGCCGACGTGTCACACTTTATCATTCATATAATATCATAATATATCACATTTCCTTATCTGAGTCAGCTTCTCGAGCCGTATCTGGCCGTGCATCACCTACATTACATACTGTATGCAGAAGTATTATTTTAAGCAACACATGTCATTAAGTTGACTAAACACTTAACTCAAATGTAATTAAAGTCAGATCCACTCGTGTCTTAGATGGGGCAGTGAGATCATAAAACTGTTGTACGCTTTCAAACACTCTGTAATTATTTTTTAACCAGTTGTTCTATATTCACCTTGCAGGTGCAGCTATGTGGCTTGTATCCTGGATTATATGTTTAAGTCATGGATGTTTAAAGCTCATATTTGTCTAATATTAGTTTACTTTTCATTAATGAAGTATGACGCTGCGCTGTCCCTATTTGTGATTGGTCAAATGTAGCTAACCCTGCCCCTTTCATGTGAACGCGCTCTCAGCTGGAGAGAGAAACCCTGGCTTGATTTACCGAGTTGATATTAACCAGCGTCGTAGGATCTCGTTTGTTAGGGTTAGTTAAGATAACTCAAACATATCCAGGGTCTGTTGAACTGGCTTCGTAGTACAGGGCACAGGTGGCTGCATAGCGGCGCTAATGTCAAAAACACAAACATTATATTTTTATTTTACCAGGATGCAGTGATACAAATATTTGGGAAGGCTTAGCCTTCCCCAGCCTACAGCACCCGCCGCCCCTGCAGATCACCCATTCTAGCCATGCCTCATATCCCTCTATTTCACTTCCTGTTTCAAAACGGCTGATTTTATGTATAAAACTTAATTAAAAAAAAGAAATTGATAAAAAAAAGGAGGGGGCTGAGCTCATGCGGGAGATTCTACCGGCAGATTCTGCGGTGATGAAACGCCATATCATGGATTATCAAGGATTCTCTCTGAAACAGTCTGGAGCTCAAAGGCTTTCTCTCTGGCCGGTTATACCACAAGGTGAGTTCCTTTTTACTTCCTGCTTCTTCACACACATGCTCTCCAGTACAGGTTAGCTCTGAGTGTTAGCGATGCTAATGTAAACACCGACCATATTACATCCAAAACAGTCAGGCATTGTTTCTGATAGCAATATAGTCCTATCGGACGCAAATCTGGATCAGCTCCGTTGGAGCCCCATTTTGAGAGATTTGGGTACGGAGGAAAATAGAGAGGGTTTTATTTTCTGACGCTGCGTGAGTTCCCCGACGCACCGGGGACACATGTTTATGTATAAAAGACATAAAAAGGCGCATTTTGCATGATAGGTCCCCTTTAAGTAAAAGTTATGTAGAAATACTATTTTAAAGTAAAAGTGTCACATTAGAAGTGTTACTATTAAAAGTACAAAAGTATAAGCATCAATATATACTTAATTGACGCTATTCGTTCACAGGGTGCAGCTTAATGTGCGTTCACAATATGGCACATAAAAACAAATAAACAGTTAAGAAGACATTCATTTCTGGTCACATGTTAAAACCATTTTGCACATGGAATAAAAGGAGGTTAAATAAGATAATTAAATATATATAATAAATAAATTAAAACAATTATAATAATAATAATAATACAATAGAACATACATTATTCTACTTCTGATAATAACACAAAATAAAATAAATAATTATAATAACTTGTACTTATACTTCCAGGTATTCTAATCCTTAATAATAATTTGTTATAATTTATTCTATTTTCATATTTAATATGAACCAGCAAGGTAACTCATTTGGTAAAATAAATGTAGTGTAGTAAAAAGTATATTGTACTTTTTACTACACTACATTTATTTTACCAAATTCTCCAAATTGTAGTGAATTAGGATTAAGAAGTAGCAATAAATGGAAAGAACAAGTACCTCAAAAATATACATTACTTAAGTAAATGAACTTAGAAACTCTCCATCACGGCTTTCAATCTGACGTTTGGTAAACAATGAGATGATTAATGGCCGGTCTGTCACACCACTTAACTGAGCAAGCAGAAGTGTGAGTGAGCTTAGAGGAAGAGGGAGGAAAGCAGAAGGTAGACGGAGGAGGAATGATGGATGATGATGGACAGCAGAATTAAGAGGAATGTGGGAAGAAGAGCAAGAACAGTGTGTTCCTGATTATCTTACTTCTCTGGAGTGGATCTCCTGAGCGTAGACGGGGAAGAGAAACTCTGACTCGCCCTCCTCCAGCTTGACCCCCTCTGAGTTCACTTGCAGGAGTCCCATCCCATCCTACAGGTGGAATAAAAACACACACACGTTTTCAAGATGGAGCAAGGCAGGTTTAACGGAGGAGTCTTAACTGTACATCAACTGAATCTGCAAGGTAAGAATCCAAAGTATGACACCTTAGAAATTAAGATTTGGGAAACACACTCCGCAAAGTTTTACTGTATAATTAAACCAGCCAGTACATTTAGTGTGTGTGTGTGTGTGTGTGTGTGTGTGTGTGTGTGTGTGTGTGTGTGTGTGTGTGTGTGTGTGTGGTGTGTGTGTGTGTTGTGTGTGTGTGTGTGTGTGTGTGTGTGTGTGTGTGTGTGTGTGTGTGTGTGTGTGTGTGTGGAGGTTTGGTCATGTCCGCTTCTACATAAATCCATGGATGGCATCAGGACTTAAGAAAGCTAGCAAGACTCATAAACACAAAACCATCCTGTTCAGCTCTTCTATTGCTGATAATAATACAAAATAAAATAATATATATATATATATATATATATATATATATATATATATAAACATACATAAATAATAGCATTAAACAATTATAATTTAAAGTATATGTTTTATTGCTGATAATAATAACAAATAAAAAAATGAATAATTCAAATAATAATAGTAGGCAGTGTTATTGGGCCAATGAAATGAACATTTTAAATAAATAATACAATAATAATATCAAGCAGTGTCAATGGATCAATAATATGTATGCACATCAACACTATGAAGGGACAATGATTACTGACATAACACTGAAGATATTGATTGATGCATTTTATTTCGAACAAGTAAAATAAACAATTACAAAACAAATGTTGCAGTGCATAGTCATGTAAGAGAAATAAAAAAAAAAATTCATTTACAACAACAGCATTAGCAACATAAACAGTCCCACATCTAGTGTTCGAAAAGGAGTGAGAAGAAGTATAATTTATTTCATCTCACCCCCTTGTCCCTAAATTATTTATTTATAATCTATAATAATTATCATTATTATTATTATTATTATTAATCTGCTTTACCTGTTGATTGACATACATACACACATGCATACACACACATACACATACACACTTACATACTCACACATATACACATATATAAAGAGAAGCATGACGACAGGTGGGAAAGACAGGGGTAAAGCTTTCCCATCTGAAAACACAAAGTGGCGATGGGAGCCAGCTTACCGTGTTGAACCACATCACCCTGAAGACCCAGATGGTGAGGGCGAAGTTCACCACCAGGATGATGATGAGCAGCAGGACGAACAGGTAGAGGCAGCGCTTCCTCCAGCCGTAGATCCCGATGTTGTAGACATTGTTGGGCACCGACCTGGGCGGGCTGCTGCCCTGGGTGGTGCTGACGTACTGCTCCCGCACCATCTGCTGGCTGATCATCACACAGAGGCACAAACATGGGCAACACGTGTTAAAAGCAATTAATAAACACAAAGTCCTTTAAAAGATCACCTATTATGCAAAATCCACTTCTTCATGTATTTTACACATCAACATGTGTCCCCTCTGTGTAAAGAGATTCTGAAAGTATCAGGAGAAAAGATTCTCTCTCTTTTAGTCCTGATCCATTTCTATAAAAACCTGTCTGAAAATGAGCTGATCAGATTTTGGCCACTTTATGATGTCATAACGATTGTTTGGCTTGTGTAACCATTAGCCAATCACTAACCAAGGTAACCACACCCCCCCCCCCCCCACCTTATCACCTGAATCTCCTCCTAGAGCACCATTGTGTTCTTTTTAACCAAATATCTCTCAGAGGGGCGTGGGGAGGGGCTCCTTATTTTCATCTAAAGTAACATATAGAGAATCAGCACTTTTTAAACAGGGCTGAAACAGAGGGGATTATGGGATGCTGCCAGGGGCGGCGGGTACTGTAGGCTAGGGAAGGCTAAGCCTTCCCAAATATTTGTGTCACTGCATCCTGGTCAAATTAAAATATAATGTTTGTGTTTTTGACATTAGCGCTGCTATGCAGCCACCTGTGCCCTGTACTACGAAGCCAGTTCAACAGACCCTGGATATGTTTGAGTAATCTTAACTAACCCTAACAAACGAGATCTTGCTAAGCGGTCCTACGACGCTGGTTATCAACTCGGTAAATCAAGCCAGGGTTTCTCTCTCCAGCTGAGAGCGCGTTCACGTGAAAGGGGCGGGGTTAGCAACATTTGACCAATCACAAACAGGGACAAGTGTACTGACAGCGCGACATCATACTTCATTAATGGAAAGTAAACTAATATTGGACAAATATGAACTTTAAACATCCATGATTTACACATATAATCCAGGATACAAGCCACATAGTTGCACCTGCAAGGTGAATACTGAACAACTGGTTAAAAAATAAATGAACTACAGAGTGTTTGAATGCGTACAACAGTTTTATGATACTGCCCCATCTAAGACACGAGTGGATCTGACTTGAATTACATTTGAGTTGAGTGTTTCGTCAACATAATGTGTTGCTTAAAATAATACTTCTGCATACAGTATGTGACACTGTAAGTGTTGCACGGCCAGATACGGCTCGAGAAGCTGACTCAGATAAGGACATATATGATATATTATGATATTATATGATCGATGATCTGATTGAATGTGATATGAATGATAAGTGCGACACATCGGCGTCTTCTCTGCATACGGCAGTTTAAACTGTATTTCCTTTATCCTGTAATATGACTTGATAGATTTAAACACTGAGTTCTGATTGGTCAGCAGGCGGTGCTTTCACTGAGTTGATCTATTTTCTATAGACGCGGAGGCGGGTAGCGTCAGGTAAAAAAAGTTATTTAGCCTTCCCAAACCTGAGCCTCACGCGCCGCCTATGGATGCTGCTGGATGCTATGGAATCTGTTTGGTATTTGGAGCCAAACACTTCAGAGACATGTTTTGTATATATCTGAGACCTACAATATATTGATGAAAAACAGTATAATAGGGGAACTTTAAAGCTGTTCAGAGGTCTGATATTATGTAGTTTGGTTACAGCAGTGGTTCTCAAAGTGGGGGCGCAAGAGACCAGGGGGAAATATGGTTATTAAAAAAAAAAAAAAGGTTAAAAAACATATTTTGAAAAAGTATTGATTGAAAATAATATGATACAGTACAGTACTATTACGTCTGGGTCTCTGTGTTTCATTAAAGCTCGGCTCTGTGTGTGTGTGGAACGAGTCATTTTGTGTGTGTGCGCGAGCGAGAGAGAGCGCACCGGTACCGGAGATTGTTATTGTTAGCTTCTGGTGCTAGCGAGCTACGCTAACGGATATAAGGAGTAGAGGAGAGTCCTCTCCTGTCAGACTGAGAGACTCAGTGAGCTAAAGGACTCTCTCAGCGTTATCTCAGTGGGTCTCAAACGTTTTGGTCAACATTAATGTAAACAATTATTTCCGAGGCACACATTTATATGATCATTATAGTTATAAAAAAATAACAGAATAAATTAAAAACAGGTATGAAATACTATATGACATTAAAAAAAGAATAAAGTTTAAAAGGGGAGTGATTTGTAAAATATCCATAAAGAAAAAGTAAATCTGTTTACAGTTCTGTTTCATCTGGGTGTTGAGAGAGGTATCCATAGATCTCTTCATTTTGCTCTCAAAGTGCACCAGATTGATGCTTTTAACTTCAATATTTATAAATCTTCCCGGGGGAGCTTGCCCCCGGACCCCCCTATGTGAGGTCCACACACCACCTATAAAAATATCACTTGACCCCTGCTTACACCTATATGCCGTGAGCTGATTATCGAGCCTTCATTGTAACTGTCGCGGGTACACTGTGTATTTGCGTGGGGATTGTTGCAGTAGAACATTCCTCTGTAGCGCCCGGTACATTAATGGGAAACCCTAAATGTTTGAGCACCCTCTATGAAACGTCAAGCTACCCCCCACAGCACCCCCAAAAGAAATCTCTGGGCCGCCACTGAGCCTGACTATTTGTGTTGGGGGGGCCCGACTTTTTTTTTTCTCCAAAGGGGGGGCCTGACATAAAACGTTTGAGAACCACTGGGTTACAGTAATACAATACTTCACGGTACAAGTGTTTGTCCACCAAGTCAAAACTGCTCCACCAATGATATTGAAACTCATTCTTGAAACTCATACCATAATCACATATTAACATTGTGTCTGACCTCAACCATGTCTTGACCAGTGAATATAAACTGTTTCCATGGTTTAATAACCTGAAATGTACAATGACTTTCAGAGCTTTCTTGCCAAATACAGCGATCTGCTACGTTGAGATTTAAAAAAAATTAACATTACCGGCTGGAAAACAAAAACATTAGCTAACAGTTGCTATACATCTCCCTCAAGCTGGGGAGAACTGCTATAACATTTTCTCTGTTTACTAACTTCAAGTGACCTCTCTCCCCCTGGTAAATCAAGTTTGATAAGAGCAGCCTAACGTTGGATTGAATTCATACTTATTACCCCTTTTATTGGCAGCACAAGTGCCAGTTCAAGAGGAGCATACTGACAATATTTCACTACATAATCATTTAGTTTGAGCCATCTTCATTTTGAGCATGAATACACATTTTCAGATAGTTTTGAGGATTAATTCAGACGTCAATGTGAATCAATATCTGAAATCAATAACCTAAAAGATGGTTGTCAACTAATCTTTTTATGGAGATGGATTTCCGCCATCTATCAAGCACACTGAATTCACTGTCTTAAGGTCAAGCCTTTACATATTGCTGCATAAGTACACACTGCCTATATGCAACTCTATATAATAGCTTGTTCAGTCACTGCACAGTATTTCATTCACTAGCCTCGAGCACGTGCACAGAGCCAGTGGATATCTGGCTCAATGCACCAATGGAAAGCCTGATGTCATTTCCAGCAGTTTTTCAAGAAGGCAAAAAGGAAAATGCCACTTATTACAGCGGGGGTGGTTCTGCCTGACTTCACAGCAGCAGGACATCACTGACGGAAACCAAGGAGCTGAATGTCAGCACATTTCAAACCGCAGCAAGATTTACAAGCTATGACAACAACAGTAGTTTTCATTTTCATTGTTTTTATTCTATAAATTGACCAATCGGAATTGAGTATTCAACTAATCCATGTATTGATCAACATAATAACCAGAAGAACTGCAGAGAGAGCTGCTTGGGCCAAGGCCTGAAGCAAATGCCACAGATTGTAGGTTATACTATAAAATACCCCAAAACAGGCAGACTTCAGCTCTCCTTAAGCAACAGCCTGCTTCGAATCTTCATCAATACTTTAGAGCGGCCACATCTAAACTTTATGGGAGAAGTTATCTGAACAACAGAGACATTTAGGGTGTCTCAGCAGTGTTTTCTGAACCTGACAGCAGCCTGGCTGATTTACATACGGGACAGATGTTGCATCTTAATGACACAGTTAAAGGGGTTTTCCATCATGTTAAAAGAGACACTTTTCAAACAAAAAAAAGAAATTATTTGAAATTAACAGATGTTCAGCCAGGCACATCATCCTGCTGCTGCTGCCGTAACTCCCTGGTGATACAAGCAGAAAAGGGCAGGCAGACTCTGCATAGTCACACGCTGCAATGTTTCTGTAAATAATGAAGTAAAAAGGCCGCCCTCACAGCGAGAGGTAATGACAAAAACCAAAATGCGCCCCTGCTGCTGGAGCTCACTGAGGTCCGGGAGATAATAGAGGCCCAGAGTCTGCACAGCTCGTTTCTTGGCGTTTTGCATTAAACAGCGAAGGAGACGTGTTGGCTTTAAAGGCTCAGAGTTTGTCTTTGACTGAACCCGCCTCTCCACAGGACCTGTCACATGGCCCGCGAGCCACGCTGTGATGAATAGCCCTTATTTCATAAACTAAACAAATGAATATCGCCTGTAAACGAAAGAGGGAAAAAATGACTTTTCCGCAGGGAAGAGGAGATTGAAGGTTGATAAGTATGTGAGATGCTCACACTTCCCCACGTCTCTCCTCATTTATATTTATTAAATCGTACTAGTATGAGTCACGATGACAAATTGAATCTCAGAAAAGACACTGCAAATTATAACGAGGGTGTCTGGCATTGCCCGGCTAGTTCTATCCACATGGATTAAGTGAGGTTTTATTTTGTATTTCTCCAATGATGCCCAAACATTTTTTTAGATTCACCTAGTTTGTTAAAGAGGACGTATTCTGCTCATTTACAGGTTCATATGTGTATGTTGTGCGTCCACTGTGACATGTCTCCATGCTTTAATGTTCAAAAAGCTCTTTATTTTTCTCATACTGCCTGTGCTGCAGCACCTCTTTTCACCCTCTGTCTGAAACCAGAGCCCAGTCTGCTCTGATTGGTTATCTGGCCGGCTCTGTTGTGATTAGTCCACCGCTTAGATGTAGCCTATCACATATACTGTGTTGGGGCTCTAGCCAGTAGAAGTGCGAGTGTGATGTCACTATGTTACTGAAGTAGACAAAGGAGTCCAATTGAAGTGTTTCAGGCAGGGGGGGGGGGGGAGAGAAACTCCTACTCAAGGAAACAGGGATTTTAGCCTTTGCAGACCATTGACATGCACACAAACCTATAGTACACACTATAGGAAAGGGAAAACCCCCAAAAGCCTTTAAATTGATCCAAATATCCTCCCTCTCTACCCAACCACAACTACAGATTAATTTATGATGCAGATCAGCCAACTGTGTCCTTTGGGCAAACGAGCAAAGAGCTGTTCATTATGCCGTTAATGAATTTGATCTAACCTAGTCTAATGACTTTAAATATAGGCATTAAGAGGCTTCTGCACTTCAGGGGGAAGCAGCTCTGAGGGTGGATCTTTTAAAAGGCGTCTTCCAGCTCCGGTTTCAGTGTTACCGCAGACTGCTCCTTCCATAGCAACCCAAATACACAGGGCCTGCACAGTGGCTGTTAAGGAGCCAGGAATGCTCAGTTTATGATCGGAAATACAGTCTGTCCTTTAGAGGCAATCGTTTTCATGATATTGCTTTTTTAAGGTGGATTATAAGACACTTGGTCAATAATATGTAATCAGGATACAAAAAAAGTTACTGTACTACCTTACAGTTACATGAAAAGAGACAGATTACTGTTACATTTACAATGTTAGTAAAAAACCGCCTAGTGCCTGAATCTGCTTCATGGTTTACACGTTTTTAGGATTCTGTAGGATTAGCTTGTCCTTTTTTTATTCACTAGGAGAATTTATATGTTCATAAAATAGTGTGTGTGAGCTTAAATGTGTATTAAGCTAAAAACAGAGCATTTTTTGTTAGTCAGATTTTATTCCTGCTTTTGTTTTTATCGCCTCCATTGGACTCCTTTGTTTACTTCAGTAACATAAGTCACCACCATAGGTCACCACGTAGCTCAGTACGTAATGCGGGACAAACACAGTGGTTTACCAATCACAACAGAGCGGGCAACTAACCAATCCGAGCAGACTGGGCTCTGGTTTCAGACAGAGGGTGAAAAGAGGTGCTGCAGCACAGGCAGTATGAGGGAAAAAAACACCTTTTTGAACATTAAAGCATGGAGACATGTCACAGTAGTAGAGGAACAAAATACTAATATGAACCTGAAAATGAGCAGTATATTTCCTCTTTAAAGTGACGCTCCTATCCGGCTCTGACCTCTGGGTTACAGCAAGGGGTCGGTCAGCTAACTACTTGCCAACAACTATCATGGTCTAGCTGTTATTGAGAAACAAGTGGCCCCTAAACCAAATGCTGTGCGTTTCAGTGAGTTAGAAAGGATAAAATACATCTCTGGAGGGACTTCACAGAGAAACACTCAACATGAAGAGTGAGGAGTGATCATAAGCTGAGCACAAGTTTCTGTCTGTAGCCGGCGTCATGACTCCACTCCGCTGTGATGCCTTAACTTCTAAAAATAGGGCACAGCATTGCGAACTAAATTTAAAACAGCAGCACAGGACACTCACACACAACACAAGGTAAAACTAATGAAAGATAAGGCACTGGATTTGCTCATAACACAAACAACAGTAAGGTGCTCTTCAGCTAAAGTTATTTTTGTATTTCAATATGTCTAACCATGTATGGTAAAACAAACGACAGCTGGCAAGACTTTTTCCTAACTTCTTCTGTAAAGACTACAACACAAGGTGGGGTACAGAGAAAGAAAACTCATTTAGCAGTAGGTCAAAGGTTGGTATTGTCAAACAATATCTTATAAAGAGGAGAAACCCCCACAGAGTGTTAGAGAGCGAAAAGGCTCACCCTTTGTGTGATCAGGCGCAGCAGTCCTCGTCTTTTCTCCGCGGCAGTGAGCAGCAGAGCTGGTAGGAGCTGCACTGTTTGAGTCGCTCACACGTCTGTCAGCCGCTCAACAGCTGCGAGCCATAAATCCAGATCAGGGAGAGCCTCGTGTGATCACCACGAGGCGGCGCTCCCACTCACTCCCTCACTCACTCTCACACACACACACTGCTCTCTGCCTCTTAAATGTGCACACGTTAGAGTATCATCAGAGTGTATGAGAGAGAAACAGAGGCGAGGGGGAGGAGAATTAACCATCAGTACACATTATATCCCGGCTATTGTACAGATTGTATTTCCTTACAGTTCCATAAAGAAAGATGTAATCAGATTCCTAAAATATGAGGATTACTCTAAAAAGCATTTAGTGTTTGTTGTAAAAAAAACTGTTCTGTAGGTGAATACTTCAAGTGTGAATCTATACGCCCACTGCCTGAGTCTGCTTTATGGTTTCACTTTCTTTGGTTCATGAGGAAAAATAAAGAGCTTTTTGAACATTAAAGCATGGAGACATGTCACAGTAGAGGCTCAAAATACAAATATGATCCTGAAAATGAGAAGAATATGCTAATATATTACATTATAAAGAATACAATCTCTGAGCAGAGGACACATTTGTTATCGTAAATATCTTGGTTCCTTCTTTTCTAAGGTCACAATGTTCAAGTAAAACACATGTTATTGACATTTCCTCTTGGATTTCTCTGCATTGCATTTGTTATTGAGGTAATTCAAAAGTAATGGAAATAAATCAGATTACATTTATGTTATATAAATCAGATTAGATTGTTTTATGGCACTACTTCTATTCTATTTTATTGTATCACTTACATATGTTATTGTGTTGCAGTGTTGGGGGAGCCTGGGCTGGGACCTAAGATTTTCATCGACATAATTACATTATGTACGAATGACAATAAAAGCCTTGAATCATTCTTGAGATTACATTGTTTTACATGTAACTAGTAATTGTAACACATTAAAAAAAAATGTAAGAGTAACCCTCCCAACCCTGCTGTCCGTAATGAACAGAGGCAGTTGTTTGTAATGCAGCCCAGTGAGTCACTCTCTCTGCAGCCCGAGGCTCCGCGCAGTCCGGTCTAATTTGGGGCTTCAGTCATGGCTCTCAACACGGAGTTAAACTGGTGTTTCAGAGCTGAGCTGAGCGACAGGCAGCAGGAAGGGCGGACCTTGAAGGGGGCAGAGAGTAAGTCACAGTGGCGGTAAACACACAGAAGGGGGGCTGATTCATGATCCTGAATTATTTAGCTTATTTTCACAACTCTGTGTTTTAGGTGTGAATAACTCATCCTTCAGTATCACTTAATACAGATGACTCATGTGGCTTCAGGGGGCGTCGTCAAACCCTCTCTGAAGAACAGGGTTTGACATCTGAACCGGCTTGGGGAGTTTAATCCACCACGAAAAGAGAAAAACATCTGTGTGCAGCGGCTTTGACAATGTGATGTATTTAAGAATTAAAATATAGGGATTCAGAGATGGGACTATTAATAAATGATGCAGCAGAGTGAAAACAGGATAACAGGGATGGGAGGGTTCCTCTAAAAAGTAGTCCATTGCAATGACTAGTTACCTTACCTGTAAAAGAAAGTAATCTGAATATCACAATATAAAGTCATGTAACCTGATTCCTTTATTTTGGATGACCTCAATATCACATGCATTGCAAATAAATCTATAAGAAAATATATTTCAATGAGTATTATGTAAACAACGTGACCTAAGAAAAGACGAAAACCAAGATATTTGAGATACAAAATGTGTCTTCTGACATGTGTAGTTTACCAATTCTGTTTTAGTTTAAAACCCAGTCTGCTCAGAACAAAAAAGCAGATATATTCACTTCAAATAAGAACAAACATAAGTGCTGGTGCCATAGTTTCAATAGTTTGAAGGCTGAAGCAAAACAGGTGGGTTTTTTTAGTTTGCAAAGGATGCAGCTAATCCCCTGAAATAATTCAGCAATTTGACAAATAGTCGGCTAAAAAGCAACTGGTATATTGTGAGAGAAAGCCACCTCCACCTCCAGGCATGTGTTAGTGTTCACAGATGCTGCACCGTCAGTGTGTTGTGCAGCTGGGGGTATTGCTGAGCTTTGACAATCAGACGCCTGAAAGCATCCATCACCTCCTCTGTCACGCCCTGAGCTAACATCTGACAGGGGGGGGGTCGCTTCATCTTTATACAGTCTCTTATCAATATCTCATAACCTTTCAATGCCTGTGGCTTTTAACAGACGAATGGAAGACATTAATGATGAATCCCTGGCACCACGTTGGAAATGCTCCGTCTTTGTTGGATGTGAACGTTAGGTACACCGTGTGCACGCAGCAGAACTGAGAACTCATTGATAGTAATTGAATGCAACGCATGCATCAATTTGAGGTGAGAACGCACCCAGCAGCACAGGTTAGTAACAACCTAATGTGCTGCTAAGAGGAGAGAATGCCTGGAAAGGTTATAATGAAACACAGCATGTTCCAAGGTATGCAGCAACCCTGAAGTCAAATAAAATACCTTTTAAGTCCTTTTTTAAGACCTCGCCACTTTGAGTTCTAACCGGTTACATTGGCGACACACTTTACCTCACATTGACTATATACAGTATTGAGTGTCCTTCCTCCTTATCTTCCAACCATTTGGACGCAGACTTGCATTTCCCCATAACCATGTTGTTTAACAAGCGGCGTAAACGGACCTTCGCGCTATCAAGCAGTGAGCGTGCGATGTCCTGTTCAGATGACGTCAAATCCAACGGGATGCCATAAATAAACTCCACAGAATCACACTACACACCTACGCCATGATTACATTCAGGCAGACTGTAGAACACAACCTCTTTGGACAATTTATATACTTATTGAAAACAAGCTACAAAATGTAATACCTTGGAAAATGCCCTTTAATACCTTTCATTTTTCACCGATTAGTTTATCAACTTCTATTACTTGTTAAGACCCCGCGGACACCCCGTTCATTTTTAGAATATCCAAAATAAAGTGCCAACAAGAATTCTCTCCAATAATCAAAAAGCCCATTGCCTTGTGGAAGTAGAGGGGTTACAAAAATAAGCTTTTATCATTGGATTAGGATTCAAAACACATTTAGCCAAAACAATGAAGCCATTTTAATGTTTGTTTTTGGAGGACCCATACCCCTTCAAATGTACCTCAGAAACCTGTACCGTGTTTTACACAAATTATTTTTTCATTTAACAGGGAAAGTGGCCATTAATAGACATTTCTGTAAATGCGCCAGTGAGGCTATTTTTCAAGTGTAGTCCCTGGACAGATTAGGTAAAGCTACCCCAGCAGCAGATATTTAAGGTTTTGTTCTACCACATAAGACCGACTTAAATACCACACTGGTGAAATAAACCAGCTTGGCCTACAAAGCCATTTCTTCAGTGCCACTAATACAAAATGACCAGGTTTGACCCATCAGTTCTCACATGAACAGTAATGAAAGAACACGGTATGATTTTGTCTTTACATTTTTATTCACCTTGTCCTACAAACAGCTCAGAGGAAACCGGAGACCCTGTAAGACAAAAGGGAATTGAAGTCAGTGAATGCAGCTTATTAATAATACATATATACAACTCATAGTAATGTACATTTCATCTTGTTTCCATGTTGTTGTACCTACTTATGCCTTTTCTGCCTTCTCCGCCTTTTCTGCCTTCTCTGCCTTTTCTGCCTTCTTGTCCTTCTTCTCCTCCTTCTCCTTCTCCTCTGGTGCTGCCTCCTCGTCTGGACCCTTGGTGTTACGGGTGTAGATCAGCTGTGCTCTGTGTTTGGACACGAGTTTGATCATGCCTGGAAGACAAAACAGGATAATGTTCTCCATAAGTTTTATCCACACATTAACAATTCACATGTGCCCTTATTTGAGTTACTTTGCTCTGCAGATCAGTTAAGGTGTGCTTAGATCATTTTAATGAAAGTCTAAACGTCTCAGTTTAAAGTTGACAGATTAATCTGAGCTTTTGGAATATTATTATGAGAGGACAGAGTGTAAACACAGTATATGCACGTCAGCAATGCGGTTCCAGCTCTAAAATCACTACTATAGTATTTTAAAAGAGAACAAACTCATGAGGTTGAACAGTTTTTGGACCAGAAGGGCATGTTTCCAATACGATATAGATATGCAATAGAAACAAAGCTCAGTCTTAAAATGCGTTTGCTTTACAAAAGGCTAATGCCGTTCAATTCAGGTAAACTTAAACAAAGCGAGCGATGGTTACTCCCACTTCATTTTGAATAGCAAACATGTCTTTTGAAACGGGCGGCAGGTTGCATAAAGACCGACACAAGCCATCACCACTACGTTAAGGGTTTGTGAAATTGGGTGGGATGCAAGAACATAGATGTTTGGGAAAGTCACCGTTGTGCTTTCAGCTAGCAATTTATCCTTTCAGTATTTTGAAGAGAATTTCTAAATGTAATGACAGCAATGTTGCCGCTATGATTACTGATGAAAGCAGGAGACAAACTAAATGTCAACCATACAAATCACTGCCACCTGAGAACACTTGAAAAACACTTGGTGTGGATACGCAGAGTGAGCATTTATAGAAGTCAGACACAGCCAATGAGCTGTGCCGATGACTGGTGGGGATTACTAATGATGCATGTAGATATTTGTGTTAAAACACGGCACGTTGCAGTTAGTTCAGCCGGTTTTCTGCCACCAATGTCAAATATTATAGCAGATTACATTAAGAGTAAAACAGCCCAGGTCCAACTTGACTTTTTGAGATATGATTTAGTGGGATAAAATTAAACTTTACCACAAATAGCTTTGCAGGACAAACAATGGAGCAAATTCTGTCAGGACTCGCTGAGATTAGAGCAGCAAAAAGGTGCTTAAATATTTAATTGGTTGATCCGAATGTAGGCATGTTGTCAGTGATATTCACCTTTGAAGAGCAGCTCCTGGAGGGCGTTCCTGGCCAGGGAGCCACGGATCTTCAGCCTCTCAGACACAACAGCGGGGGTGATGAGCTTGTAGTTGGGCACCTCTTTGTACAACTTTTCGTAGGTAGCCTTGTCGAAGAGAACCAGGTTGTTGAGCTTGTCCCTCACC